AAGCTCATATCTAGCTTTATTGTATTTCATTGTAGCTGAGCCTCATCTTGGTGATTAGTAAGGTTTCCGAGATTAAGCCATAAAAATTAAAGTACTCTATCCCTTTAATAACTGACCAGCTGTATCAGTTGTCAGGCCAACAATCTGATGTCGAGATCTCCGACACTCTAGACTTCCAGGAGCCGATATGATTCCATTGCTTCTGGCTAGAACCTTTCTTGATAGCCTTCCGTTAGTTAGACCATTGAAATGTAGTAAAATGTAAAACTTGTGTCATTTCTTTTATCCAAAAAGATAAAGTAGACTAAAAATGTCCATTTCATGTCAGGAATCTAGAAAGCAGGTACAAAACAGTAGGACTTAAAACTCTTTTGTTTCATTAGTTTAATAAGGTACAGAACAGTAAGACTCTATCAGGTATTAATTTTAGAGTCTATAGTAATATAAAAAACCTTAGACAATCTTAAAAAATTCACAACTAGGTTATCAACCTACCTTCGTAACATTCTAAACCGGTGTTCACCCAGATAAAACACGTATAAAAAGATCTGTCTGAAATGTTCCGTGATATACACGCCAGATTGGTAACTTGTAATTCCTATAATTAGCATATTATCGTTTTATAATTATCTTCGCTAGATTACAGTTGACTTCTGGTTTTAACTTAAATATAATATATACGTGTGGTAACATTAATAATACAAATATATAGAAATAAACAGTATTAGCTATATAGTCTTTCCGAAAGTGATGCTGAGTTGACAATCCCGGTGCAGTGCGGAATGGTGTGAAAGAAGGATCACTATGGCTTGCCTTGATAGTATTGTAAAAAATAAATCGACGGGTCGGTTTCTATTATAAAGAAAAATAAATCACACAATAACGTGCAAATAGTAGGTAAAAAGTCGATGCAATTAGAGTAAATGTGGCTACATTTCGGCACTGATCCCTTTATCAAAAAGTAGGCGAGAAAGATGCTATCTCTATCAAGAACACTGAGAAATGAATTTAGTGTTATACTGTTGAAATTCCTCCAAATGCCACTAGTTGCTGATAGTCGTTTAAAATTCAGTTGCTCTGATATTCTGTGACTCGCAAGGTAGACCTGGATCTCTATTAAGAACAGTTTTGTTATTCTAGCAAACATCTGTGTATTAAAAAGCGTTCTCTGGTAACCCAATAATTTATGTTAGAAACAAACACAACAGATGTCTCGTCGGTAAACATCAAAACATACACAGAATAACTGGCGGACGAACAAAACATAACTTATTATGATAGGAATCTAGAATTCGGTTCAACTACTTCCAGGTATTTGGAGTCAGTGCTCTTTTTTTATCAGGAAGTTGATCTACTTTCATTTCTGGTAAAAATTGTTGTAAAACCGCAACCTGGTTGTTGGGAAAAAGCAGAAGACCTCCGAGATCCGAGATGCAAGACCCCCCCCCTCCCCCTTTTGAAAATTTCAATGTAAACTTAAATACCAAATAAATGGACCTGGTGGGCCCTCCGAAAGGCACGCCAATTTTAGAAACACGGGCGGAAAGTTTGTATGGATTGTCAATAAAGGTGTTATTCTCTATTCTTGAATATTTTCTAATCGAACATAAAATCCCAGTGTTATCTAGAGTGTTAAACTGAATTTCATTAAATAAATGTGTTACCATAACACCTCATTGTAGTGTAAATCTTATTAAAATTAGAAATAGTACTTTCAGAAGGTGACGCCAAATCTCGTTGTGTTTCGAGTGAATTATTGTTTTTAAGAAGATGCTTCAAGTTCACTTTCACTTTATTTCATAAGGAAAGAAACAAGTATTGTATGAGAAACATCGTGAGGATCCTCTCTAAGAATCCAGTTCCTTGCCAAACTTCTTGGTATTGATGTTCCCCGGATTATCAGTAAGCCTACTAATTTAGTTTAGTTGGGTTGAAATATGATCACAAAGGACAATGTAGGCTAGGCCTGTACATTCTTCACAGTGATCAAATTTTGTTACCAGTACCGGTACAAATAAATTTCTGTGTTGAATCGGCGTGGAAAATTCCTTGTGGTTCAAAACTGACTTTTTTTTTCTTAAAAGTTTATGTTTTTAACTAATGACGTAAATCTCGTCTGAATCTCTGAATCGAGATTTCCCGCCATTATTGATCAGACGTCAATTTTTCTAACAAATTACGGAACGAAAATATCTTCTGTAGCTTTTAGATAAACTTTTCGTTGCTTCAGGCTTCAATTGAAAGTCAAAGAATAGCTTGTAACAGATTTACTGGTTTTAAAAACGATGTACTCTTTCGTTTTCAGTGAGTCGTAAAACATCGTCTGGAAAACATTTAAAGATCTAATTATTTTATTTTGTGTAATTTTTCTTTTGGTTCAAAGCCAAATATTTTTATTGCGTAAAAATTTTCTGTTAGTAGGTCGATTCAGTGCCGACATAATAAAACTTCTGATATAGCTAATTCCTAGTAAATACCCTGAATTTAATACAGATTCTTTCGTGTATTTCGTTTTGCTAATGGACATGTATGAAAATGATTTGAAGAGATTTGTCGAAACTAAACGGCAGAGAAACTGCACAAATCAATTTTGAACTTTCAGAGACCAGTGTTTACATTTTAGTATTTGTTCCAAAAGGTGTCATAAACCTTAAATTTAACATATTCACATTAATAATAATATTATTAATAAGTACAACTCATTTGCATATTCACAATCAATTAGCATAATCTCATGATATTACCACTATTGATGAGAATATTATCACTATAAGTTAGAGAAATATTAGTATAAACAGTTGACTGTTGAGTTGATTGCCCGACCTGAATCTATCTGTATAATATATGAATATAATTATGAATATAAAGATTAAGAATATCATTAGGTTAATTAGTTAATTAGGACTAATAAACAAAATATGTAGACATTTTACATGTTGTACTGTTATTATACAGTTATAGGCTACAGAAATACATGTTAACCACGTCTTAGGATATGGCGAAAATGCATCTTGACTGGCAGCCATTTTGAAAATCCAATATGGCCGCCATAACAAATTAGGAGGAGGTGGTTCCTACAAAAATCAAAAGTAGACATATATGGTAGTCTGCAAAAAAAATTGGTGCTTTTGTCCAGCATGTCCACATCCAACTCTAATGTGTTGCTAAGCTACCTGACTAAGAACAGTAAGATGTAAAACTACATTTCATTTTGTTTTAAGATCAATGGAATACAAAACATTAATGGACAAAATTCATTTCGTCAGCTCATGTAACAGTGGGATGTAAAACTCCTTTTCTTAAGAAAATGGAATTAGAATATTGATTCTCCACAGATAAGCTATGAAGGATAAAACCTTGGTCATAATCAAACCATTGGTCTTATTGGAACCAAGACTTTCTAACACCTGCTTTAAAACTCACCGTCACACATTTTTGCACGTAATACCAACAATCTGGTCTAATTGGCCTTCGTATTTCAGTAGTAACTGGGAAATGCAATGTGTGATAAATACTGACATTCTGATAGACGCTATGTTTATTATTCTGTGGTTCTAACAGAGAATGTAAAGCTATAGAGATAAATTACCAACATTAAACTCTGGTTTATGAGGCCATTATTGTTATTTTATACCCGTATTATAATAATTATCCTCTACCAACTCTTAACTCTGGCTTTATTCTGGGATCTATTTTACCTCTGGTGGATGTTAACTTATGTACTGATAGTTACGATTGTTAGGAGGGTTCCATATTCAAAAGTATCTGCCTATCTAGTTTGTGTATCATTGAATCACATGTATATCTAATCTTTCTTTTAGTTTATTTTGGTAAATGTAAACTTCTCTACTGATAGTTTCGACTGAACCATGACAGCTCAATGTTAAAAATATAACTCTATCTAGTTTGAATTTGATCGAATCTTTTGTATATATTACCAAGTTTATTCTTGGTTTTATTTTACCTCGGGTAGATGTAAACCTCTGTTCTGATAGTTTATAGTGTTCTAGGACAGTTCCATAGTTACAAATAAGTGTATCTAGTCACGTTTTCACTGAATCATTTGTATTCAGCAACCAGCCTTTATTGTGGGTTTTATTTCACCTCGTTAGGTATAAACTTCTATTCTATTCAATATCCATTTATATAATTTTTCTATGATTTCAAATGTGTAAGGTAAGACAAAAGCTACCATACCTTACAATACATTATGTAAATATAAATGGTAGAAATCAGACCAGTTCAGCAGATCAGAAAGTGGTATTATTAGTTTAAGTCATTCCAGTACATGATACAAGAGAATTAGGTTGTATATTTAATCTTGTCGATGTCGGAATTAAACCAATTGGCTTTCAAACAGTCCTGAATTCACGTTTCAGTCCGGGTTGATCAATAACACTGTTTTTATCTCGAATTCTATGGTTAATTTATATTAACTCGACGATACCGAGTACCAAAAGAACAAAATCGTGTTTAAAGTCAGTGAAAAGGCTTCCTGAATTATTCACTTACCAATCGCTACCTGATAATCAATGAAACACTGTGTATCCATAGACATGGGGAGTGTAAGTCTACAGCGCATAGGTTGCTTCAGTGGCGTTTCTGTTTCTAGAAAACATCAGGCGTGGGAGGGGGTGGGGTGGAGGGAGTAGGGGTCACAATGTTTTCCAGGGGGGGGGGAGGGGAGGGCACAGATCATTCTTTCACGATGTAAAATGATAAAAGATTTGTAAGAAGGGGGTGGGGACATTCCCGGGCCAGCAGCATTGCTTTATCAAGAAAAATTGTCTAATAAAAACATTTGTTGGGATGGTGGGCTATGTTTGAAAGACTTTAGATCTGGGGGGTTTAAATGTCCGAAATTTAGATAACATTTCATTTCTTCCTAAAAACCACCAGTTTTAAATCTCTTAAATGTTATTTATGTTGGCAGTCTCACAAAAAGTTTTTTTTATTCCTCCGCCTTTAAATTTCAACAAGTAAGACTATATTGGGGCGATATGACCTGGGTGGATTATTTACAAACAATCTTAATGTTGCCTCGACATTCTGTACACTCGTGGGTCCTATAATCTTGGCTTGTAAAAATTTACGAAAATTCAACCGATACATAATTATACAGCTATCACAGAATAAGTATTTATCCATATCAACTGGTTCATTTATCTATAAACAATCTAAACAAGAACTTAAAATACATAGATATAAAACACTTGTTCCAAATGATCAAATCGTGAAACACCAAAAAACTATTTTTTACATGAGTTAACTTTCAGACATCATCTATATTCGTGTAACAATAGTCTACACTATTTTCTTTCTACTTTACGTCTTAAGCATGTTTATTTATGAATTTTTTTTTCTCTTTTCAGCACAAAGTCCTAATTGCTGCGACAAGTTCCTGAAATGTCTGTCTCACGTGCCTTGTGCATCTTTAATCGCCTGGATCATCCTGTTGCTAGGCATTGGTGGTTTGACCGGAAGTCTTCTGATCGGCGCCAACAAAACACGTGATCTACTCCAGAACCAATCATTGTATGTAATTTTTTCTTATATTTGCGCCAAAATTCAAATCAACTAAGAGTATGAGATTTTCCGCTGACAAATAAGCAATAGATTATGTAGACTTGATATGATAAACATATGTATGAGAGACAGGACTATAAGACCTAGTCTCTCATGGTCCAGATCTCTAATTTCGACAACACGATCCTATTTTTGAAAGTAAACGGCATGAACAACTGCTGATTCTCATGAACGGTACTCATGAACTGAATACAACATCTGATAAGACCACCAGTTGCTAGCAGTCGTTGAAATTTGTTTAGTTGCCCTCAGATTCTACCAGTCGTAAGGTCTACAACTTAATAGACAACACGTATCGTAGGGCTAAGGATATTTATGGTTGGATATAAACACCAAATCTGGATCTGAAACCTCACTTGATGCCTATGCCTGTACTTTCGAAAGTCGGATCAGTGTCGGCTTTCACCCCCTAATACCTAACCTAAAATATGTACAAACTATCGTACAGATATAAAATCTTGGCTTGGCCCTGACCCCCCCACCCCTTCCTAAACACTAAAGTAAATAGAATGTTGCCAGAAGGATGTGTTTGAATATGAGTTGTATTCTACAGGTTATGGTTTATGGACTATACTATAATTGGAGTAATTGTATCGATGTTTGTTCTGGGTACAATCTTCCTCGTCATTGGTCACATCTCCTCAGAACCCACCAGTCGTAGAGTCTTCAGCTCCTCTAGCAAAAATAGATGTGCCCGAGGGTTGAATATGGGGGTAAGTAAAGGCCGTGCATTCTGCTGAAATGGACAGGGTTGGGGATAAAGTAGATATGTGCCGGAGGATTTATGAATGTGCGATGAATTAAGGGCTGCGGTTTTCAATAAACTTCGGTGGAGGTAAAGATATTGAAAATATCGGAATAGAAAAGGCATACGTTCTGTAAGACAGACAGAAGTGTTGGTGTTTGAGAGGATCAGGATTGGGATTGAAGTATGCAAATATTTAATAAAGAAAAGGGCCATCGAAATTTACTAAGAGGGATAGACACTGTATAGAACGATCCTTTTATCACCTGTTCAATATCAACAACAAGGTCACCAAACTTCTATATATAGAGATTAGAACCTGTAGCTGTCAGTTTTGAGTAATAACTAAGCCAATGGCATCCTGAAATTCCAATCGATTTAGAAGCTCTTGCCCCAACAAATTATTTAATTAATTAATTAAGTTACTGTTTTTTTAAATTCTGTATTATCTGTTTTAAATTGCAGTTCCTATCGTTCGTGTATATTCTAACAGTGTGTTGGATATTCGCTACAGCTGTGTTATTTGTACCCCTGGTATTACTAGGGCTACTGTATTATATCACAGATTACGAGGGTCTGACCTCTATTGATCTGAAATACTACGGTAAGAATATTCATATTCAGGGTGGGGGACCAGGGGGGTGGGGATGACTACAGCTGTGTTATTTGTACCCCTGGTATTACTAGGGCTACTGTATTATATCACAGATTACGAGGGTCTAACTTCTATTGATCTGAAATACTACGGTAAGGATATTAATATTTAGAGTGGGGGAAAAATCTTATGTAAGGAGAGTGCAATATTTTGGTTACTATTTGATCAAAGAAAACTGCCATTGCTTTGAATTTACTATTTTTTTATCTCAATCATTTTATATAAGCTTTGGAACAGATTTGACCACTAGTTGTAAACCTAGGGAATGCTATGTATATTTTGTATGTTTTAAGTATTTGTTCGTTTTGTAGGTTTTCACTATTATTGTTATATTTTGTAGGTTTTGAAGCTAAAGAGTTGTCTGGTGAGGCTTTAACAACTTTTGTTACAGAGGTAAGATATAACAATCTAACACTATGCTTACTCTTCTGAAACACCTGATTTCATTCAGGATTGTCCCTGTTCCTTTAGGGTACAGTATTATCTACATCATATTGATAATATACTACCCTTGCTAAAGGAACATGGGGTTTGTCAAGAGTTCACATCCCTTTCAGAGAGTCCACATAGCTAATGATGTTTATGTGATATTAGGTTTGTCAATTTGACACCCCTTTCAGAGAGTCCACATAGTTAGTAATGTTATGTAGCATTATAATTGTTCAACTTGGCATTGCCAATTATGTTCAGTTGACATGTTTTAGAGGGTTCACATAGCTAGTCAAGTTTATTAGGTATTAAGCTTCGGGGAAGGGAGGCTTTGGTTTATCAGATTACGAGATTTGTAAACTTGGCATCCCTTTCAGAGAGTCATTATTCTGTTATATTCCAGGCAAAAGATGTGTTGATATGTTATGGATGTGCTTATATTTCATCTGTTCTAGTTGCCATCAGCTTGGTAAGTATATCTTCTCCAAATCTTTTAATCTTCGCTGATGTTTAAAAATGATGGATGAAGTTAATTCAAACAAATTGTAAAATATATTTGGTACATTTCTAGACCTGGCAAAGATTGGATTAGTGGTTCAAGAGCAATAGCTCAGCTGCCATAGGGACTGGTTGAACTAAGTCCATGGACCTCCACCCCTAAGGGCCCCACCATATGCAGGATAGCATATAAGTAAAATAACAAAAATTCCCGGGGAAGAGTCTACAACCCACCTACGTCACCGGGATGTTAAAATATCAGTGTTGGGTGTTATAGAAGATACTCTCCTATAGAAGCACTTGCCAAGGTCACAAGAACTTCTTTGACATCAATTATCAATATAAGTAATAAATATTAAATTGAAATGATACTATGATAAATGTTATGTGCTGTGTGTAAAGAGAAATCAGTGTTTAATTTTTTTTATTAATTGTTTATTTTGTTAATTTTAGATACATTTCCTAATCTCCATGACAGCCAACATAACACATCTTACCGACAACCGATTTGCAGCGCTCAACGCCTACGAGCCCCCCGGAGAAGAGATGCGTAATTCCAAACATTCAAACCTGGATACGAATATGTAATGACAGACGTCGGAAATATTATGTGCAATATCCAGTGGTATTTATTAAAATTTAAATAACCACAGAAAGAACCAAGTTGCCAGTGTATATATTTTCAAAAAAGACCAAATTTCATGCATGCGCCATTTTTCATCTAACATCAAAATAATGGAATTTAGCAGAAATGGATCAATATTTTTAAGGAGTATCATTTTACTATCGTTTCCATGGATACTTATATATACACAGGATTATCATCATTTTAATAATTTAGTGTATAAGGTTTTTTTAAAATCGCGAAAAAAACCTTTTTAGATTTTTGCTTCAATAACTGTTTTTCAGTTTTATAATTTTTGAATTATTCGTGCTTTGCGCCTAGTGTAACGAGGAGGCTTACTGCTGTAGTGTTTTGTGTGACCAGTGACGGGCAGCAGACGATGTTGTTTTTTAAATTGGCATGTGACTTGTGTGTCTGATGCACCACATTATGAAGCTCTGATGCACCACATTATGAAGCTCTGATGCACCACATTATGAAGCTCTGATGCACCACATTATGAAGCTCTGATGCACCATGTGACAAATATTTTTAAATTGCGCCACAAAATTTTCAACTACACTGATTGTATTGCTCAAATATTATGGATGATGGTAGTAGAAGTCAAAACACAGAACCTGGCTCTTTGAACTTCAAAACATTGACAGCGGCCATTTTGGATACATGTTTCTTTTGATCTTTGTAACCCTCTGAAATCAAATGTTATAGATTCTGGTAGAAGAGCACTAACACCAGTAATGTGAATAGCATGGATCAATTTGGATTATGTTTTAAAAATACTCATCAGTTTGCAGAACGGAGAATTAAGTATGGCTTCAGGAATATGAGCAAAAAAAACCAGACTGATTTAAGTGAAAGAATGTACATTTGAACATTTTTCTTAGAAATATTGGGGGATTCTATTCAAGTGTCATTTATTTGATCCAAATCCCGATTTAAAATTTCAAGTTTGAAGAGTTAGGTTCTTTCTGTTGATTAATGACATAAAACTTCAAAAGTTAAAAAAAAAATGATGAAATAATTTGTTAAATCGTGGTAATGAAACTCAAAACTTTGGTGTCAAGAAATTTGAAGATGAGAGAAGTTTAAACATCAGTGATGAAGGTATTCCTTTCTTTCAAATCTGGTCCCATATTTCAACAAATATCCTAACAACAGATCTTTATTCTGAAACAAAAAACAATTAGGCTTACCTATTTAAAAACAAAAAAATATCTTTATATGGTCATTTCACAAATCTTCAAATTTCCTGACCTATCTTTGACAGTTTCACGCCCCCAAAAAAAGAAATGCATATAATTTGTATGATTATTAATTGATGAATATTCATTAGATATAATTGTTACACAGTACTTGAAGATAATACTCTATATTTTATGTATTTCTACTTTCGCTTTCTCCAAGATGTTGGTAGAGACATCTCAACTAAGACTGTCATAACGTAATGATTAGGGTGTATCTAGAATCTAGATTTGTTATCTTTTAAATTATGTTCATGGACATTAATCTTGAAATCTTAACTTAAATAAAATCAAGGTTTTACGAAATACAGTATTTTGATTGGTTAATTAGGCTACATATAAACCCCAATCTGACCAATCAGATAAAGAGAATGATGATCGTAAGTTTAGGTTTTGTAAATTATGGTCTCAGTTATTTATTATCTAACTACATATTGTATTTAGAAGTTATTCAGTGAAAACACTCTAGTATGATAGATTGGTTTTAAGATTTTGTTTTAATTATTCTATTAGAAGCGATACCTCTATACTCTTTAAAAATTACTGGCTCAATAGTATTATTCAAATATTATTCTTTGCATGGTAGAAATAGCAAATATTTAGCTTTTGCATAATTATTATAGATTGCTCAAACAATTGTAAAATTAAGTAGAAAAATAGCAATAATATTTACAAGATCGGATATTCATCTTAATATTTGTTTTACCAGCTGATAGAACTTAGTTTTTATTTTGTGTACAATATCAGAATGTCTTTTTGAAAGGTGATACAGTTATCTATGTATTCTATAAGCTGGTCAAGTCATTTATAAGAGGAATTTACATAATTTCAGCAACTGGTGTTCTTCATATCTTAATTTTTCAATAGAAATTCATAAATTAATAAACGAGCAAAATCTTTATATTGAGTTGGAAGAAAAATAATTTTGCATCTTGTTCATTTTGTAAATTTATTTTCATTCTGTATAATTCATTTCATTTCATTTTTCTAGTCCAGTTTTCAGTTTATGTATATTTCTACTGTATTTATCTCATGGGAGGAATTAAAGAGAAGGCTATGCTTTCATTTTTGACCTCATGAATATTCATGTAGCTCAGAATTTTAAAACATCACAATCTCAACAATTCGGGGTGTTTCAGTTCTACTGTATTTATGAAATTGAATTATGGGAGGTTTTTATTTATAGGTATATTAATAGTTAGTATATAGTGAACTATAATTACTATTGAAAGATTTTATTTTTAATTTAATGACATTAACAATCTCAATATTAATTTTCTGGTTTCTGGAATCTGAAAGAGTCACCACACATTACAATACCAATATTTTCCTTCGCATTATCTTCAGATATATTTAGCTCAATTTCAAATCTAAGTTATTTTATATAATATATTAATCAATATTATTATTATTATTATTATTATTATTTCTTGCCGTAGTCAATATTATTCACTTTCAAACTTCTGTGATTCTAAAAACACCTGACACCATTCTGTGATTTAATTAGTCATCTCAGCTTCTTTCCGTGAGTTTTGTGATGTTGTCAGAGAATAGCAACATTTTTTTTCAGGTTTATCTCCAGAAGGGCACTTCACAAAATCAAATGCACATGTTGTTCAGTGCACATGCACCAAAGTTGATTTAAAAAAAGAAAACATTGTTTTTGATACAAAAATGGCAGATATTTTGTTATGAGATTGCAAAGCCTTAAAATTTTAGCAAAAAAGGGCCAAAAATATATTTTTAAAAATTAAAAATTTCAAACTATTAAAACATTAATGAACAGAATTTCATGTAGAAATATTTTATGCTAGAGCAACTTAAACACATGCATCACAGGAAGTCAAAAATGTGGATAAACAGATACATGTAGCATACGTGGCTGAATACATGGCGGAATACATGGTCTAAAGCTTGCATGTGGTTTGGAATAGACAATCTATGGAAGAATTTAAAGTGACTCAGTGAAAAGGTTGTAGTGTCAATCATGACCATGTTGAAAAATTCTCATTGCGATTCTAATATTAAGGTAGATCATGTAAATAATTTAGATACGGTAGTTAAAAAGGCGATATGACATCATTTTGTACGATATTGGACCATCCCTGTATATAATATACTTCACATGTTGGGTATTTTCAGGATTTTTGACAGGATCTTGTCGTTGTTTGCTTGGTCGATTTTTGGCAGTTAAAAATTGTGGTTTTGCTAATTACAATAGTGGTTATGTGTGGAATTCAAGAGAGTTTATCATTAAGATGAAAGAAATTTCTTTCTCCGATGTCGTAAATGTAACGCCATTATTAAACATCACCTACACATAAAACAGCAAAACAACATCGTCCAATTTCAAAATTTGCAACAAATAAATGTCCTGAACATAGCAAAAGCAAACTAAGAAAGATCTAAAAATTCTAGAAATATGCAACAATGAGGAAATCTTGTTTTTTCTAATAATTATTATTATTATTATTAATCTTGTTATTGTTTATAATACTATAGTCTAGTTGTAGTCTGTTTGGATGAGTTCGAATTTGACAAGTTTTCATCAAGAAGTCAAAATGCTCCACCAGATATTCATCCCTTATTCAAATGGTAATGCATACACTCTTGTACAACCTTACAATCATGGTAATATAGCTGGGTATTATAAATTTTTACCATTGGCTCAAACTTGGCTGCAAGGTAGAAAACTTCTCAAATGTGAACCCATCCTCATGTTTCAGATTCTGCCATGATAAGATTTGACAGGATGAGAAATATCAGACCAAGTTTAGTCGTGTTTTGTGTACAGCTTGTTTTCTTGTTACTGTTTCCGTCAACTTGTATATATTTTAAATATTGATGATATAACTTTCATTAGCTTCATTAGGCGACTCTTTATTCTTTTCATCTTTGCTACAAACTCTGGGGATAGGTTTGCATGTGGGGTGTTTCAGCACCTAAGAATAAGTAGGATTATCAATCAATGGCACAAGCAATTCGTTTGGGTAAACACCCCATTAAAATCAAATTTGTATGAATAAGCTATCGTCATTTATAACCAAAACGGGGTGCGTATTATCCACGATTACGTTTTATACTCGGATAAATACGGTATGTGGGCGTTTCCTTAATAAAGAAAACGTGAAATTAAGGTTCATTGTTGAAGATTTTGGCACAATTATTAAAACCTTAGCCAAAGGTTTCAAGTGGAAGAATTAAAAAATCCGTCGTAAAAATCTGATGTTGCAGCAATTTTGAAATTTATGATTCAAGGGGAATAACTCCATTTTGCGACTTGTCCGTTTCCACCAGTTTTTAGATGAAAAGAATAAAGGAAATTTTTAGATTTAGAAATAACAACATAATATAGTGAAATTAATTTTCTAATTTCCGATTATTTTCTATATCATTGTATGCCTGATAGTGTATGCTTGCCCGTTTCATGCACTTCAAACTTCCTGATACACGCGAGAGCATCATGCCGTGCTCCGTGCAAACGACAGTATGATAACTATATAACATTGGCCCGTTGTAATAGGCCTAATATTAATATATACACAAATACACAATGGGAATCATCTACTTTATAACCATCAGAATAGGCTGAACAAGGTCAGATTTTAATAACTTATCGTCCATATTGAAAATTGATAGGTTTTATTGGACGAGTTAGAGAGACGATAGTTAACGTCTAATTTGACACAACGTAGACTAATTCAAAAGCCTTAGTCAAATCATGAAATTACAATTTTTAACAATTTAGCTTGCCTTATATACGCTTTTAATAGACTTATAGTAAATCTTTTATAATATTTCAACTATCGTTTTCTACAGAATTACTATATTTTCAGATTTTAGAATAAGTCAAGTCATTTTTCAGGGAATTCATGTCGCATTTTACATAACATTGTCAAAAATCTTCCGAAACACACATTGTTTAAAATATTTTGGTTTTGGTGTGCATGTGTTAAATTTATTAAATAAACAAAATTCAATTCAATTAACCAGAAGGAGTTTTAACGCTTGAAAAACAATTTGCGAAACAGTTACAATTGTTAAGTAATTGATGCCAAGAAAAAAACAAATTTGTCCGATAAAATTATTAAAACACTAAAATCATGTGTTTGAACAGGCTCCAGTTTTTTGTAAGAAATAAAGTATAACCTATATTCTGTTTATAAAGTGTATATCTGTTTTATCTTTAGATATTTTGTCTTTTTAAATGTGCAAGTTGAAATAAATGTTTTCTAAAAGTTTACTTTATTTAATGACTCTAAAACTATGGGAAGTTCAAATTTGAACAGAGTAAGGGGTTCATCAACACTAGTTTTTGGGTGATATTACCTAGCTCTATATAGGAGAGGTGTACTGTTATCAGATGACATTACCTTGCTCTATATAGGAGAGGTGTACTGTTATCAGATGATATTACCTAGCTCTATATAGGATAGGTGTACTGTTATCGGGTGTTATTACCTAGCTCTATATAGGATAGGTGTACTGTTATCAGGTGACATTACCTAGCTCTATATAGGATAGGTGTACTGTTATCGGGTGACATTACCTAGCTCTATATAGTATAGGTGTACTGTTATCGGATGACATTACCTAGCTCTATATAGGAGAGGTCTACTGTTATCAGGTGACATTACCTAGCTCTATATAGGATAGGTCTACTGTTATCGGGTGACATTACCTAACTCTATATACGAGAGGTGCACTGTTATCAGGTGACATTACCTAGCTCTATATGGGAGAGGTCTACTGTTATCAGGTGACATTACCTAGCTCTATATAGGAGAGGTCTACTGTTATCAGGTGACATTACCTTGCTCTATATAGTATAGGTGCACTGTTATCGGGTGACATTACCTAGCTCTATATAGGATAGGTGTACTGTTATCAGGTGACATTACCTAGCTCTATATAGGATAGGTGTACTGTTATCAGATGACATTACCTAACTCTATATACGAGAGGTGCACTGTTATCAGGTGACATTACCTAGCTCTATATGGGAGAGGTCTACTGTTATCAGGTGACATTACCTAGCTCTATATAGGAGAGGTCTACTGTTATCAGGTGACATTACCTTGCTCTATATAGTATAGGTGCACTGTTATCGGGTGACATTACCTAGCTCTATATAGGATAGGTGTACTGTTATCAGGTGACATTACCTAGCTCTATATAAGAGAGGTTCACTGTTATCAGGTGACATTACCTAGCTCTATATAGGATAGGTGTACTGTTATCAGGTGACATTACCTAGCTCTATATGGGATAGGTGCACTGTTATCGGGTGTTATTACCTAGCTTTATATAGGAGAGGTGCACTGTTATCGGGTGTTATTACCTAGCTCTACATGGGAGAGGTGCACTGTTATCAGGTGACATTACCTAACTCTATATAGGAGAGGTCTACTGTTATCAGGTGACATTACCTAACTCTATATAGGATAGGTGTACTGTTATCGGGTGTTATTATTACCTAGCTCTATATAGGATAGGTGCACTGTTATCGGGTGTTATTACATAGCTCTATATAGGATAGGTGTACTGTTATCGGGTGTTATTACCTAGCTCTATATAGGAGAGGTGCACTGTTATCGGGTGTTATTACCTAGCTCTATATAGGAGAGGTGCACTGTTATCAGATGACATTACCTAACTCTATATAGGATAGGTGTACTGTTATCAGGTGACATTACCTAGCTCTATATAGTATAGGTGTACTGTTATCAGGTGACATTACCTAGCTCTATATGGGATAGGTGTACTGTTATCGGGTGTAATTACCTAACTCTATATAGGAGAGGTGCACTGTTATCGGGTGTTATTACCTAACTCTATATAGGAGGGGTCTACTGTTATCAGATGACATTACCTAACTCTATATAGGATAGGTGTACTGTTATCAGGTGACATTACCTAGCTCTATATAGTATAGGTGTACTGTTATCAGGTGACATTACCTAGCTCTATATAGGATAGGTGTACTGTTATCGGGTGTTATTACCTAGCTCTATATAGGAGAGGGGTACTGTTATCGGGTGTTATTACCTAGCTCTATATAGGATAGGTGTACTGTTATCGGGTGTTATTACCTAGTTCTATATGGGAGAGGTGCACTGTTATCAGGTGACATTACCTAACTCTATATAGGATAGGTGTACTGTTATCGGGTGACATTACCTAGCTTTATATAGGATAGGTGTACTGTTAATGGGTGACATTACCTAGCTCTATATAGGAGAGTTGTACTGTTATCGGGTGTTATTACCTAGCTCTATATAGGAGAGGTGCACTGTTATCAGGTGATATTACCTAGCTCTATATAGGAGAGGTGTACTGTTATCGGGTGTTATTACCTAGCTCTATATAGGATAGGTGCACTGTTATCAGGTGTTATTACCTAGCTCTATATGGGAGAGGTGTACTGTTATCAGGTGACATTACCTAACTCTATATAGGATAGGTGTACTGTTATCAGGTGACATTACCTAGCTCTATATGGGATAGGTGCACTGTTATCGGGTGTTATTACTTAGCTCTATATAGGAGAGGTGTACTGTTATCAGGTGACATTACCTAGCTCTATATAGGAGAGGTGTACTGTTATCGAGTGACATTACCTTGCTCTATATAGGAGAGTTGTACTGTTATCGGGTGTTCTTACCTAGCTCTATTTAGGAGAGGTGCACTGTTATCAGGTGATATTACCTAGCTCTATATAGGAGGGGTGCACTGTTATCGGGTGACATTACCTAGATCTATATAGGAGAGGTGTACTGTTATCAAGTGACATTACCTGGCTCTATATAGGAGAGGTGCACTGTTATCAGGTGATATTACCTAGCTCTATATAGGAGGGGTGCACTGTTATCGGGTGACATTACTTAGATCTATATAGGAGAGGTGTACTGTTATCAAGTGACATTACCTGGCTCTATATAGGAGAGGTGCACTGTTATCAGGTGATATTACCTAGCTCTATATAGGATAGGTGTACTGTTATCGGGTGTTATGACCTAGCTCTATATAGGAGAGGTGCACTGTTACCGGGTGACATTACCTAGCTCTATATAGGATAGGTGTACTGTTATCAGGTGACATTACCTAGCTCTATTTAGGATAGGTGTACTGTTATCTGGTGATATTACCTAGCTCTATATAGGAGAGGTGTGCTGTTATCGGGTGTTATTACCTAGCTCTATATAGGATAGGTGTACTGTTATCGGGTGTTATTACCTAGCTCTATATGGGAGAGGTGCACTCTTATCAGGTGACATTACCTAACTCTATATAGGATAGGTGTACTGTTATCGGGTGACATTACCTAGCTCTATATAGGATAGGTGTACTGTTATCGGGTGACATTACCTAGCTCTATATAGGAGAGGTGCACTGTTATCAGGTGTTATTACCTAGCTCTATATGGGAGAGGTGTACTGTTATCAGGTGACATTACCTTGCTCTATATTGGAGATGTGTACTGTTATCGGGTGACATTACCTAGCTCTATATAGGAGAGGTGTACTGTTATCGGGTGACATTACCTAGCTCTATATAGGATAGGTGTACTGTTATCGGGTGTTATTACCTAGCTCTATATAGGAGAGGTGCACTGTTATCAGGTGTTATTACCTAGCTCTATATGGGAGAGGTGTACTGTTATCAGGTGACATTACCTTGCTCTATATAGGAGATGTGTACTGTTATCGGGTGACATTACCTAGCTCTATATAGGAGAGGTGTACTGTTATCGGGTGACATTACCTAGCTCTATATAGGATAGGTGTACTGTTATCGGGTGACATTACCTAGCTCTATATAGGAGAGGTGCACTGTTATCAGGTGTTATTACCTAGCTCTATATGGGAGAGGTGTACTGTTATCAGGTGACATTACCTAACTCTATATAGGATAGGTGTACTGTTATCAGGTGACATTACCTAACTCTATATAGGAGAGGTGTACTGTTATCGGGTGACATTACCTAACTCTATATAGGATAGGTGTACTGTTATCAAGTGACATTACCTAACTCTATATAGGATAGGTGTACTGTTATCGGGTGACATTACCTAGCTCTATATAGGAGAGGTGCACTGTTATCAGGTGTTATTACCTAGCTCTATATGGGAGAGGTGTACTGTTATCAGGTGACATTACCTAACTCTATATAGGATAGGTGTACTGTTATCAGGTGACATTACCTAGCTCTATATAGGAGAGGTGTACTGTTATCGGGTGACATTACCTAACTCTATATAGGATAGGTGTACTGTTATCGGGTGACATTACCTAGCTCTATATGGGAGAGGTGTACTGTTATCAGGTGACATTACCTAACTCTATATAGGATAGGTGTACTGTTATCGGGTGTTATTACCTAGCTCTATATGGGAGAGGTGTACTGTTATCAGGTGACATTACCTTGCTCTATATAGGAGAGGTGTACTGTTATCGGGTGACATTATCCATCTCTTATTTGGAATGGCGCACTATTGTTGGCAGACATTACTCAGGTATTTGAAGTGACTGACTGGTGCATGAGGAGCTAAGACCCGCATCGGTAGAGAAACTACTTGTCAATCCCAATGCCATCTTGGGAGTTCTTCAAACAACATCAACCAAAAAGGGGGCCGTATAGACAACCCCATATAAAACACAGTATTTAAGTTTTATTTTTTTTTTATTTATTTAATCGCTTTCCACAGTGATAGATTCTTTACCTGTAATAGATAATATCTCAATTAAAGTTGATATTTCATACAAATTTCTATACCTGTCATTGTTTATTTCAATAAATGGTATTAAAAAGATTTTAGCTTCCAGTAATAGTCAGTGGAAATTTAAGTCAGCCTTTTTTTTTTCTAAGAAACCTGATTCAGTTACAAAATCTTAAAGGCATTGTAAAGAGGTTTTCTAGCCTTTTTAGGTGTATCAGGGACACCTTTGACTTTTATTTGGGACATTCCAATTCTACGTCCATTGCGGTTCCTGCAATTCCAGAAAGACTTAGCTGGAAATGCTGCAGCTCCCGCAATCAAAGTGACATAAAAGAAGATCTTAAGAAATTAAAAATAAAAGAAAAAAAGTAAAACTTGGGAGATGATTCACAGGTTTTTACTATAACCAGAGTAATCTCTGAGAGAAGATAATTGAAAACCAGTGTAATTACCCGAGAAATCTGTACAGGGTACGTAACTAACTAGAGTATAAAGTCTGTGGATAGAATCTTCATCTTCATTACGTTTTCTTGCTAATCGAACTCGGATTCGGAAAGGTACACTCCTGAAAAATAAGTTATTTTGGTAAATAAATTCCTGGAGGTAGGGACAATGACTATTTTTTCCCATCCATATATAATGCATTTGTTTGAGAACGGCAATACAACAGTATCATCCATCTTAAAGAAACAATTGCATGGAATCTTTTGCAGAAAACAATTTAGCCACATTGCAAGAGTAACCATTTTATGGACAGATGAATCAACTTCGAACTAGTTATAATAATAATAGCTATATTCTGTTAAATTCTTGAAAATACCAACTCAGACAAGGCTGAAACTTTAAGTGTGAAAATTTCATAGAAATTTCTCAAATGATCTCATCATCATTATTGGTATTGACAGAATTATGGAATCTGAAGAATAAAATAACTCAAGATAAACAAGCAAGCTGATTTTCAAATAAGGGAGACAATTGTGCTAATATGACAGAGAGAGTGTGCTCAAATGGTCAGAGATGGAACAGAACATCCCATTTTCGACTCTTAATTATTATTATTATTAAGACACTTATAGAGCGCCATCTTTCACAATATGTGCTCAGATGCGCTGTACAATACAATTCATAAAGTATCAACATATTGGTAAAATTGGCAAATAAGTATAAAAATATAAATGAATAAACGTAAAAAATATGTATAAATATAAGGAATAAAACAATCTATAAATTAAAAGCTTTCTTAAATAAAAACGTCTTGAGAAGAGACTTAAAAGTCACTAAAGAAGTGTAGCATCTAATGTTAAAAGGTAAAACATTCCAAAGTTTAGGGGCCTGGACGGTAAAAGAGGCAATTAAGACTGAAAACACAATGAGGTGAGACACTGGAAAAAAACCTTATCAAGAGAGTAACATTGAAGCAATGAGACTATTCTAATTTTCTTAAGCGTTTTTTCCTCCATTCATTTATTACATTGTTCCATTGGGTTGAATGTTAGTGTTTTGGACCTAGTTCTGACTATGTAAATTAAAGAGTCTCTGTCCCCATGGACTGAATGTTAAACAGGACTATGTCCTCATGTAAAAATAAAGAGTTGATTATTATTATAACTATAATGAAGGTTGATACTTTTAACACGTTTTTAGACTTATTTCTGACATGCGCGAGACCAATAATGAAAATAGAATGTTTTCAACTACCCTAACAGAATCAACATTATTGATTATGATACAGTAGAAAATACCAACTCAGACAAGGCTGAAACTTTAAGTGTGAAAATTTCATTGAAATTTCTCAAATGATCTCATCATCATTATTGGTATTGACTACAATGAACTTTTCATCCAACTTTACAACTGGACATAACACATTTAAGGTATTTTGAGGTCAAAATAAACAATTTGAAATGAACATGCTACAACATCTCAGGGGGATAAATTAAGTTTTCTCTAAAAGGGTTTATATTTGTCAATACTTTTGCCAACAATTTATCAAGTTGACTACTTGAGAAGGTGATTGCTTTCAACAATAAATCTACAATGAAAAATGTGGAATTGTCAATCAGTACCAATATATCTTTATGTTCAAAACTACATCCTAAATATTTAACTTAGACATCACTGGTAAATACAACAAAATCTGTCCAAATCTCTAGTAACTGATCATAAACAAAAATCCCAAAAATTCAAAACACCGCCGTTTCAACTTACCTGACTCCCTTACTCCAGATATATTTATTCAATCTTGTATCAATTCTCACGTCTGGGGTTTTCATCATCTTCAACGCAAACTTCCTGATTTCCTTGATGGCTCGAGGGGCTTTTCGTTTACATGATCTGAAAAAACAATTAATTAAAAGTAACAACCTGAGCCTGACAATCAACAAGTCTTAGAAACAGTAACATGGTCTGAAAGTAATGGATAAATGTTAATTGCAATGTCTTAAAATCCATGGAAAGCACTTTATTATAGCGCTTTACCAGTTGTCATTCGTCAGGCTCCTGGCAGCGTATTCTAGAAACGATCTTAGATCTAGGATGTCTTAGGTTCTTATCTTCTAGCACTGATTCTAGGACATCCTAACGCCGAGATCGTTTCGAGAATACATGGCCTGAACTGCAACACGTCCCACGAGCCCTTACATGATACAGAAGTTATATCCATAAGAGGCCGTTCCTGAATTTATAACGGTAAAAGTATTAAGATTCCTCTTGGCATGTCCACAACACAAGTTGAAAGGAAGTTACAAAAAATACCATAGAGAGCTACAACTACTACTTACACGCTATGAATATATTTATGAATGTGGATGGTAACTTCACGAGTTATGACCTCGTTAGCAACCGACTTCTTCTTGTCCCTCTTGTTTCGTGGAGCCATGACTGAAAATACAACAACTCCTTAAATCACCAGAATTGTCTTTTTATTAGTTACTGAGTATACTGATCATACTTTATTCAGCAATGGGCTTGCAAGTTAATGGCCAAGGGAAAAATCTACCCGTGTAGGTTTTGAAGCCTATTGGCTTACCCTACGTTATTGACAGTGTGTCAGTTTTTCCCTCTCATTGAACACCGACATGCAATTGTCAATAAGTCATATAAATAAATTTAGTTTTGTCGGAGATGAAGACTGGATTTAAAAATGCCTAAATTATGGTTTTTACCGGCAATGCCCAGTGTCGTCAGCTAGGCCTTCAGAATAAGGAGGTACACTAGTGCTTGACAAAGGATAAGAGAACCAGAAAACAGCAGGTATGTGTCATTACTAGAATTTACCAGCACGAAGCGAATGTTGAACAGTCCAACAACATCGTGATGTAAACAAACACCATTCATCCTAACTTTTCAGATCTAAAATCTGGTAATCAAGAACGATTTAGGCATCATTCGCTCATGGATTTCAACGCTGGGCATTTCTATTGGTGAGAGATACATCAAAGATTTAGTTTAATATCACATGGGTTCATGATTGGATCGGATTCGGCATGTGCCGTCTACACAACTTACTCGCTACTATGGCCGAAGCTAAAAAGGAAGTAGAAAGGTGCTTGGGATTGAAGATAAGGGGAGATAAACAATCAATCAGACCACTGTTAACTTTCTCTACCATAAATTGATCACAAGATCTGATATAATTTATGAAAATCAGCTGCTCTGATGAGTTTTTATTCTTGAAAACTACTGTAGGATTTATAATTTGGCTCGTATGACTTTGCTTTGAAAGTTTGAGGTAAGGTAGCCTATATCCATCTGCATGGGTCAGCTATAATCATTTGGTCAGGACCGATTGGGACAACACACTGGGACGGTAGAACTGATCCTCTTCACAATGGTCTGGACTAAGATAGCTTTCCCTGGTGCCAAATGATGCTTCACAAGCCTTTGGCATTACAAAATATTACATTATATATCCTGACATGGCTTGACTGGCAAGTAACGCGAAGATATTATATCAACAAAAACTCTGGTAGCACCTCATGCTTTTTACAATCCAGTATTGGCATTGTTTGTAACTGTTTTGATTTTTTCAAAGGTTCAAATGTCAAAGTTCAATGATTGGAGATAATAATCTTATGAATATTCTCCTCGAACTAGCAGTTATCCGTTTAAATTGTCACTGTCATTTTAAGAAGACAAAAAAAACTCAATGAAGGTATAAATTGCATTTATTAGGGTTTATTAGAATATTATAAATTTGGAAAAAAGACACAAGACAAGGAAACATTGGAGAATTTGGTGAATTAAATACCAAAAGCTTTGAGACAATACTTAAACATGCAAAATAACAAATATATTAACACAATGGGGAAATATAACCAATATTAAAATGCTTTAAAATAAATATGTCTAGATTTCTATTACTGATTGGCCATGCAGTATGCAGTCACATTTTCTCATTTCCAGCTGTCTTAAGTCTTTGATATTTGCGGACTATAGCATATGACTAGATGACACAATAAACTGTAAAATGATGGACATTTTGCTTGTACAGCAGGATAGGCTTAAGGCCTTTCAAAATTTTCAGCTGTCAAAGTATCCTTGACAACCATCAGTAGATGACACCATAAATTGTGTAATGGGTAAATTTTGAATGTTGAGCAGTATTAGCCTACTCTCTCTCAATTTTCAGCGGTCAAAGATCCTTAAAGATGGGTTTCCTTATTTTTTTAGTATCAAATTAAGCAAACTATTTGATTAATTGGTTTTTCTAACGAATTATCATGTATTCTTAATCATATCATTATGTTCTTATTGCATAATTAAGAATTTTTTCCGATCCATGAATGTACAGTCTGGAGAAACATAAAAAGACTTTTTGACCTTTCTTGATCGGTCACTCATTGGAATTCTGTTGGTAATTCTCTAATAATTTAGCTAATTATGGACATGTGAGACAAACTGGTATTTTTCCAAGTTATCCATCTTTAATGTTTGCAAATTTAAACACATGATAAGATGACTAGATACTCTGTTCTCTCTCAGGTCTATGAAGCTAGTTTCAAATCATAATAACAACAGTTATATTCCCCAGTCTTGTTTTTATACAAACATTATGAATATTAAATATATTATGAATTCAACAACATCAAAAACTAACAATAATCATCCTTCTATATTATTTCATTATCATAAGTTGATCTTTTCTTTCTGACAGGGATATCTGACAATAACAGGTATCTTCTGCCATCAAAAAAACTTTTGAGTTGCTACATCAATGATTATCAATAGGTTCAGCTTATCAATTATTGAGTTATACAAATTTCAATGAAGCAATTGATTTATAATACAGATTTAGATGTTTTGTTTCATGTCTTTTCTGTGGGTGATTCCACAAGCCATGTATGATCTGATCGATCTAATAAAATTGTTTCATATCAAAAATTCTAAATATTCAACCAATAAAAGCTCTGTTACATAATTTACAAAAATTTGGACTGAACACAATTAAATTAGAATTTCTACAGATCATGGATGGTGAATGAAGTAACCAACAGAATAGACACAAAACGCAACATGTATATCTGAGACATGTTTCACACAAACTCACAAACTTATCAATCAAGATTTTAAAAAATACTGTAATTTGATTGGTTAATAGAAAGCGATTTCAGTGAATAACCAATCAAATGACTGAAATACTTATCATTCTAAGCCAAGTTTTTGTAAAACAGGCCTCTGGATTTAAACCAGAGTACATGTATATAAGTCTCTCAGAGACAATAATGTATTTTGACTAGATTTCATAATCTCAACCATTCATTCAACCATTCCAAATAAATAACTTTCTATATCTGTGACTGACAATAATATAATAAATACTACTAGGTTTCTAGACTAGTACAGAGATATTTATAAACACCCAGGTAAAATTCTGAACATAAAACATTAACAGTTCACTATATTTAATAAGTTCTGTTAATAGTAATTGAAACTAAAAGTCAAGAGAAATTTTGGATTCATGACTAGGTGGAAATAGACGAGGTATGATGTTGGGTGCAGTGTATGGAGCGGTATTATAGATACAGTAGTAAATAGAAGAAACAATTAGTGTCCGCACCATGTCCAGACCTGTACCTATTGTGTTAAATTCTTCTATATTTGTTTATATCGATTATTCCACACCGTACATCGCACTGGACACATTATCTCGCGATTTAAGTCAGACTTATCTCATATTCAATAACTACTTGACACTGCATGATACCTAAAAATAGAGTAGACTGTTTCATTCCTTCAATTTTAAAGTTTTCAATCTTCCCTGGATGGAAACAAATTTCTTTTGTCTTCTATAAAGGGTTTGTTAAGAGGTTTTCTTGCTTAATGTTTGTGCATAATGAGTAAATATATTAAGCACACTGTTGTAAATCAGTGTAAAGTGACTTGGAAAGTAGAGACTTATACAAATAAAATAACCAGGAAGACCTCTCGACAATCTCTGAAACCTAGGGTGGACATAAAATAATAAACTAAATAAATCTTCTTAACAAGACTAGAAACTACACACAATGCTTTTTTAAATTGACAAGAAAAGAATGTTTTTAAAAATTATTCATCTTTTTTCACTCTTTTACTCATAAATTAAATAATTGACTTAGTGACTTTATCTGCATTGGTTCACGGAAAGTTTCAATTCATTCAAATTAATCGAAATATGGCTTTTAGGATTTTTCAGGCTGTAATTTAGGATTGCCTTAACCATGTCAAGGTTAAATTTTTCTGAGCTAGCTCTCTTATTTCTTAAAAAATTCTTATGTCTAATATTTTAGACAATTTATAATTTTGATCATGAGATTTTTAAAAACAGGGGCCTGAACTCTTTACCAGATAGAAACCATATTTTGACTTAAGTTCATATACAATTTAATACGGGAATCTTCAATTACAAACTTTAACAAGGTGTCTCTCAAATACAAATCACACACACAAAACTATAACCACACACTTAAATACAGAGTATAAATAATACATAAACACACGAACAATTCCCATGAATTTCTAATCACCTTTGAACAATTAATCTTGGTTTTTTTTCATTATCTTGTAAAAAGTCGAAAGAAAGAAACAGTCGTTTTTCTTTTACAAGGAGAACAATTAAGATTCTTGAAAATCCTGTCTACTAGTAACTCTTTGGCAAATCCTAAGAATTTATGATAAAAATTAACTGTAAAATATACTGAGAAGTTGAGAATTTTATGGGACTTTCTGTCTCATCTCACAGGATAAATTGCTGAAAGTAATTAGAAATACATTAAATTGTCTAATAATATAAAACAAATACACCAAGATATGAAAGGAGGGAGAAAGGGGGGAGGGGGAGGGGGGGGGGGGTGATTTGGTAATCATGAGAGTGTATATTATTGCTGGCTAGTATTAAATGCTTCAAGTGACTTTGGTCCCAAAAACAACCTAACAAACAGTCTTAAAGCTAAGCATACACAGGCTCCACAAGTGATAACATGCTTTTTAAAGTGAGGGTCAATAAAATTCATAGAATTTTTTCTGATGAAAATCGTAAAAATTTAAAAATTTGAATTCTATTACACTTCAGGTTATATCAATATAATATCAGAAATTCATGATCAAAAATAATTTTTATCTTAAATAGGGATTATAGCCCGGATTGAAAATAATAACAATTGTTAAAACTCAAGTCTCCCTTTAATTCATTGATATATCATTCCCCATTTGGTTTCCAATGTTAAATTATTCCTGGTTTTTATAATAATGTCACCTTGTTTTAACTTTTTAAATTTTTTTATAAAGGCATATACTTTCCCTTCAAAAGACGTTAGCACAGAAACAATGTGATCTCCCTCAAACACAGAAAGAAACTCTGTATAAATTGATTTGACAGTATAAATATTATGAGGTGTATATATTATATTTTATAATGTAATAAATTATACGTGTTATAAACAATTTAAACTTGTGACTAGTAGAATCAAACCACACCCATCATCTTTATTATTACCACAACAAATATCAGTTATACTTAAAGGTATAGTAAAGAGGTTTTTTTTAATTTTGTATGTATATCTTGGACGCATCAATTTGCAACATTCCAATTTTCAGTCAGACGTCTGTGGTTCCTGCAATTCCACTAAAACCAAGTGTTTGATGACACCACTAATCCTGAACCCTGATCTTATGTGATAAAGCAAATTTTGCAATTAGTGACGTCATCAAACACTTACGTTAAATGGAATTGCAGGAACCACAGATGTCTGACTGAAAATCGGAATGGTGCAAATTCATGCAATTAGTGTCCCCGATACACATACAAAATTAAGAAAACCTATTAACAATCTTTATAATTATCATAGTTAGTAGCCATCAGCATTCAAAATCAATTTTATAAAGTTTATGCTTAGGCTGTTTATCTATTGCAAGGGATGGATAAATGCCATCCAAAATTCTAATATCATTTAGTTAAAATCTGTCTTAATTTGAAGTATTTAAGTATATTTTTTTGAAATTTAAACCTTTTAGAAGTCCTGCTGTTCTGATAAGGTTTAGATATCCAAAACACTATCATATGATGAATATTTGTCAAATAGAATTAGGAATAACATCTTCAATTTAAACCTGTCTTATTGCTACTGGATATTGGAATTCATGGTTGTTTTGGCTTTAAAAGAGATACTAATTCCGGTTTTGGTTTTGGTACTTGAACCTTAAAAGTTGGGAGTTTAACATCAACTTCTGGGGGTTTCAAAGCCTCGGGTGAGAGTTTGCCGGCAGCCACAGCTCTCTCATGAATTCCCATATGTCGTTTGAGATGATTTGAGCGGGTGAAGGAATGGTTGCATATGTGACATGTAAAGGGACGTAACCCAGAATGAGTTTTCATGTGACATTTCAAACGACTGAGCTCTGTAAAACCCTTACCACATTGTGAGCAATTAATCAAGCTATCTCTATAATGAATCTTTTTATGCCGATTTAAACGCTTTTTGGCCCCGAAGGTTTTGCCACATTCACAGACAAAAGGTCGATCGCCTTGATGTTGTAAGGTATGGATATCTAAATAATTTTGTCGATCAAAGATCTTGCCGCATTGCTCGCAACTGAATTTCTTTTTAACATTATGGGATAGAAGGTGGCGTTTATAATGGCCAGGGTGACTGAAACCCTTATCGCAATACTGACAGTGGAAGGTTTTAATTTCGATATGATTCTCAACATCGTCCATCTCTAGGACATGATTTTTTAATGCCAAATTTGTTGAGAATTTTATCTCACATTTACAAATAAAGAAATTTGCATTTTCATGTAATTTTTGATGTTCTGCAAATTTGGTGTAATTATTAAAAGATTCTCCGCAGTCGATACATTCGTAAGTTCCGCTAATTTGCGTTCCGTCTCCCATTGGTTGATAACAGGAGCCGAGGTGCTCTTCATATTCGTCGCTGTTACAAAACGACTGAAGACAGAAATCGCAGTGATGGGTTTTACGGGATCGATGGGATTTCAAATGATCTATATACTCTTCTTTATCAATAAACTCCTCTCCGCACTGGAAACACATCGTGAAGTATTCTGGGATACCGATATGGGCATTTTCGGCAAAGAGATTCTCCCCAGAATGCGTTTCAACATGTGCTTCATATTGACTTATATACATAAAATCCTCCCCACAATGGAAGCACAGGTACAGAAATTTACCGGAACAGTGGGGAAGGTGGGCATGCAAGACGGTCTGATCCAGAAACTTGGCTTTACAGGTGATACATTTAAATATTCTCTGATCTTGATGCAAGACTAATATATGTTCTTCCAGATTTTCTATAAAGCTGAATTGATCATCACATTCCATACAGATGAAAACGTCATCTTTTTTATTGCTAGGCAAGGTACTGGGCAGACTAGATAAAGAATCTTCCATCGATTCTCTCCCTTTGATAGGAGAGATCGTTGAATTAGTCAGACTAGATTTTTCACGGCCACAAATCAGTCCCTCGAGAATTGGGGAGGATTTCTTCAGAGATTCTAGGTCACTGTCTTTGGTGGGTGTTTCTGCTGATCTGTGAGTTTCTCCATTTGATTCTTCAATCAGTTCAGCCTCCATCTTGGATTCCAATATGTCAATCTTCATCTCCAGTGAAGAAAATCAAAATGGTTGATGAATTTTCTGACAGATCTAAGACCTAACTTAAAACTTTAAGCTGCAATTAAAAATATGAAATATATAATATTAGTTAATGGAATAAAATATTAGTTTTATATCCAACTGTTGTAACCACGGGAATGCAGTATGAAACAAAAGAAATTTTGCAAACAATAGCACCTCTCAATCTGAATAAATTCATTGAAGGACCAAGTAGATGGCAACAGGAGAGAGAGACACTGGAAGATTAGTCCAACAACTTGAGGGCAACCAAGGTTTTAAAGCTCTCTATTTACAAAATATAGGAGAGATGACAATGGAATAAATGCTATTCATACATGTATCACACGATACACAAACTCAAATTTGTTCCACCATTAAATCTTGTAACCATGCATTCATCATGTTTGCATATCACTTTTTGTATATTCTTAAAGGGGCAGATGCGCCATTTTATGGGATTGATTTAGGTCTTGAATATATGTAAATAGTCTTCAGATTTACTAGAAAGAAATGTACGAAAATTGCATAATTCCTTCACAAATATCTCAAACTAGGATTTCCTAAGACTAAGCTTCAAAATGGCGCTGAATCTTAGCTGATTGTTTCTATCAAATCCAAGCCTGCAGACATGATGCAAAATTGTTCATTTACAACTTAAATATTCAAACACCTGTGGTCTTAGTGAAGTGTATTCCTGTTCTCTACATAAATGAAAGGAAAATGAAGAACCATATTTCTTAGTCGATCCGTAATAACAATTTTATAAACAAACCTCACATTTCTACGTGAATTTCTTTTATTTTCACAAACAAGTTTGTAAAATAGTTTCAATTATCATTTATACAAATAATTCAATCAAATTCCACAGCAATTTCCATCATAATCTCTAATTTTGACCCTTTTAAAATTAGGGGGCATGCACCGTGCCCGGCGGGGCACCGCATAATTTTCCTTTCTCGTCGGTCATCACTTCCAACAAAGGAAGGTCAAGTTATGCCCTAAATCTTGCTCTGAATCGAAATCTCCATTTCGAACTACGTCCACAATTGAATATTTTCTAACAATCTATCAATTCTTACCCGAAAATGTCCAAAATAATGCATTTTCGTCAAGTTTTTCTTGGTTTCTTGACGCTGTTTTTTGTTATCGAAATTCCCACAGCCTCGTTCTGATGGTACAGCTGTATTTAGTACGGATTGTATTAGAATTATAGACTCTGATATTTTCAAATGATTTTCCATCATCATTTATTCATTATTCAAGTGTCACATCATTCCATTGTCTGAACACAATAAGTCAATATTGGAAATAACTCCCTGGAAGTGGCAAAGATTAAAATCAGCAAGATAGGCTTTAGTTTTAAGAGTACTTCACCACAGATTTTGATAGCTGGATTAAATCAAATACTAGGACAACGGTGTCCAGTTTAATGCCTGATAACTGTCTCATCACATCCCTAGAAAAGAAGATGGTCTAATTGCGTTTTAAAAGTCAAAATTATCAAGAAGACAAAATCAAAGAGCTACATATAGACTATCATGCCATAAATATGTTGCCCTGCATTGACTGGTTTCACCATAGAATTATAGGAAACGCGGGTGATGTTGTCCTACACTCATTCAATATGTTTTAGGGCAAGGGTCAGAGATATAAGAGGATGGAGTTTTATAGAGTCTGATATGAAGACTAAGGACCTGCAACACATATTTCTCAAGTGCCAGTTAGTTTCTTCACCTTTCTAATTTAAAATCTCTATTTTCCGTAAAAAATCTTATGTATTTTCTTCAATAATATTTATCACATTTCGTTTTTATTTTATCCCCAGCTGTAAGATCAGTTTTTTCATATTCTGTTGTATTTTATAATTATTATTATTATTATTATTCTCTTCATTATTATTGCACTTCTGTTTCTTTTCGTTTCTTTTGCACAGAATAAAATTCATATTGATTTTATTTTTATTTCAACAAAATAACAAACAATTTCATGCTAACAAAATCAATCTCAATAACTTACGATATCTAAAAATGTTATCTTCGCCTGTTAGTGCTCATTTTATCAATTATAGAGCAATATATCAATTATATTTTATAGTTAAAATTGGAACAAACGGATTATAACGATAAAAACAACTAACAAGCTGTTCATCCAATTTTTTAAGAATACAGATCCTGGTATTGTCCTGGAATTGTCCCAGGCAGGATTTAATGAGAGGTCATTCTTCGACCTAAATTTTAAGCTCCAAGATCAAAAACGTTATAGATTTTAAGGGCCACTCACTACGATATGCATCACGCTGGGTGGCACTATCCTGGCAGTACTAGGCACCCTATTTGAGAGTTCTGGCAGTCCACATAGCTTAACATATTCCTTCGGTGTCTAGGTCAATTAAACAACCCTTCCAGAGAGTCCCAATAGCTACTGTTTTCAACCCAGCATTCCATTCAGAGAGTGCACATAGCTATTCAAATGTCGATTTTGTAGTTGGGCCCAATGGCAGACAACTGATCAATAATCGATTAAAACTTGAAATAATTCAATTGAGAAACTCTGTAAATACTAAATTAAAAACATGCCAAAATTTTTAATTTCATGGGTGATGTTTGCATCATGTTTGCTTTGATCAGTTATTATAGTTTATTGTGGGTATGTATTGTGCTGAAGGGAAACTATATTCTTGTTTTGATCAGTTATTATAGTTTATTGTGGGTAAGTTATGTGCTGAAGGGAAACTATATGGAAGAGATTACTACTTGTTAATGGGTACAGTGGAGAAAATGTAACTTTCACATATAATCGATTATGAAATTTGATAACCAATAATCGAATATATTGACTAATTTCGATGATTTTACCCAGCCCTAGTCCACATAGATAATATCTACATGATAAACAAATTAATCCAACAGATTATGCCACTACATTTCTTCTAACTTCTGTTAACATCATAAAGATTTCCGCAGCTTTTCACTAGAAATCTGGGCAGCCTCCAACCACAGTAGAAGTTCCTTAGGTGGGTCTGGGCAGACGATGTTGGGGTCTAGTTTTGACACAAGATCAGCAGGCGTAGCTCCTAGTACCACCTGTTTTATCAGAGCTATTGAACATATAAACTGATCCTGAGTTCGAATTAGTTTCTGCTCCATATAAAATGACCGTTCATCCCAGTAGACTACCTGAAAATATTAAATAATGTATCTGGTTAAATTCTGATTTCTGGAGCATCAACTATTTAATTTTAAAGATTGTGTCTTTATCAGCTGGCTTAAAGAGGGAATTGAGAAACAACGGTACTTCAACATGAATAACAATTTAGGTTCACAAAAATCTTGTCTGCTAGCTGGTCCTTGGCATTGATCTTTCCCATTTACAGCAGGTATTATGATTCTTATGGAGGAAGGTGACTTTAGTCAAGGTTTAAAGACTTTGACATGCCAACCAAGATTAGAAACCTTGAACATGACCATGCAAATGATGTCAAATTTTTACGCTCTAATAAAAAAAAGCCATCCTCAAAAAAATTTGGTTCAAAAATGGTGTTAAATTTCAATTTGGATTTTTTTTGTTTTTTAGAAATTCATGAAAGATATTTAATGATTTCAGAATTGACTGTTTGTCATCCTCATCTCATCATAAGTTTTGCTTCTTATCTCACCTTAGTATGAATATTATATCTATCTAAGAATACCAGTGACTTTCTATAGCGGATATTATTGCCTCCGTTAGTTAGAGAGCCTCCAAGTTTCTTCACCTCTTGCCAATATCTAGATCGAACCCAAAAATCAAAACGACCAAAATCTCCTTCTCTTAAATATCGCCCATTATTCATATGAAGGTTAAAATCTAGATCTGTGGTCAAACATATCCCTGAAAATAAAAAAAAATAGAGAAAGTGTTTACATAGGGAGTAAAAGTGAAAGTAAAAATATGCATTGATAATTTCTTGAAATATTGAATGAATACTGTAGTCTAAAAGCAGAGTTAAAACTGAATGTATAAACTTCCTCTTTAAGCTTGAAGTTGTGTTATATGAAAGGTCTCGTTTGGTTGAAAAAGACAATGGAGGGTCTATCAAGTGACAGTTAACTTTAACTTTGATTAAGGCACAAATAGCCTTCCATACAAATCACCGACTGAACACAAATAAAATGGGCTAAAAACTGACCAGGAACTACAGATTCTTCTAGAATACTGATTCTGGACTTAAACCTGGAATACACAGACACAATCAAACCACGGAGAAAATAATACACATCGAAAAATAGAAACAGAATGAAGATAAAGTAAAAATACATCATAGATAGGAAGTGGAGAGGCGGAGTTCACCCGCCATGAAACGATATTTAGACTCCGCCCCTTCATATAGTATAGTCTCTATCTGCATGCCATTTCTTTACTTTACACACATGAACTAAATACTTGACAATTATGTCTACCTTCAATCTCGGTCATAATGACCTACACTTAAGGGGTCTGCTTGAATATTATCATGCGGTCTTGTTTGAAATTACAGCTAGGAGTAGGACCTTATCCTAATATGTTCTGTGTAAAGAAGAAAAGTAACCGTTTTTTCCTAAACATTTGATTTAAATTGGTCCTGTGAATCATGTATTTAATATATTAATATGCAAAAGTAGGTCAACACTAGTAGGCCTGCACGTGTAAATTCAGCATTTATCTGTGAAATGGAGTTCAGTTACCCCCAACACCCCACCTCGCAGCCCCGGGCAAAAATCTCATATTCGGATTCCCCCATCTCAAGTTTGCTGTTAAAAAATATCATGTTAGTATTGACCACAATTTTCACATTTCTGCTTGAACATTTTGTTTGGTGAGTTTCTTCTATCTCTTTCATCAAGCTAATGAGGATATACAACACCAAGCAGTGTGCAGTACAGGAAAATTTGCCATGAAATCGACATTAACCTACTCTTATTTCAATTTCCATCTGTTAGGATCTTGAACATGAACAACCTATAGCACACAGGGCCTTGTTTTTTTGTCCCATTCCATCCAAGAAATCTGATGCTATCATCACAACTTATGCTTGGTTAAATCAGAAATGCCTAAGGATAAGACGAACATAGTTTTATACCAAATTATTTTATTTTATATTATTGTATCCCATATAATCATTCATTCATAAAATATAATAATAAAAATAAATTCATAAAGGTTGAAGAAATAATACTTGTCATTTTTAAAATAAATATATTGCGATGAAGAAACTGGGAATTACCAATTGTGAAATAACGATACATAATACTAAAATATTGGTAATTACTCCAAACTAATGTTTTTTTTCGTTGAGGAACAAATGAGAAACAACACAACGATGGGCAGACTGAACAGTTCGGGGCCCCTCACACAAATGGGTTCCTAGGGCTCCTGCCCCAAATCCCAAATAATTGTTCCTTGTCCTCACCCTACCTGTTATATTTATTTATCTAATTCGAAGAGATAAAAAAAAAATTAAAAATATTTTGTTCAAAAGTTTTTTTAATCATAATTGTACGGCCAATGACCCCTCCTGTCCAGGTGTCTGACCCCCCAGTCTGCCTCTGTTAGAGTTAGTGATGTTATAATCTGATCAGAATCAGAATGATGCAAACAGAGCCTTTCATACATTGGAATTGTTTGTAGGGACAATGTTATTATAGTATTTTATTTTGATGACTAGGAACACTAAATCATCAAATAGCTTGACACAAAACAAAAATAAAATACAGTCTATCAAAAATTATAAATGCCAAAAATAGTACAAAAATAAACCATTCAGAGGATCATGATATTGAGATGTTCAGTGAGTTAATAACACTTTATAATATATACCGTGGAGTCTCATTTATCCACACGTGCAGTTTAACGAAAATCCGGATAGTTGGAACATGCCATCCATAACTAGAGTTATGTCCCTTCCTATTAGGAAACCGGATAAATTCGGCTCCACTGTACCGTTATTACATCACATAACATACCACTAGTCCTCATTTTAAAGGGACAGATGTGCCATTTTGGGGGGTTGATTTGAGTCTTGAATATATTTAACTAGTCTTCAGAACTACTAGAAATGTACGAAAATTGCATAATAAATACTCCAAACTAGAGTCGTCTTTTTAACATTCAAACAAAATAATTCTGGAAACACATAGATTTGGAGGCTAAAATTTCGACTGTGAGCTGTGAACACTATAACTTATTGGCTAAGCTGAAAATATTCTGTTTCTGAGACTAAAGTATGATTAGAAAAAAAAATGGCCCACCTGTCCTTTTAACTTAAAGTTGCCCATCCAGACAGATCACTAATAATTCTAATTCATGACAAAATGGTCATCAATATATTATCAGTGTATTTCTATCTGAGATGGCAAGTGTACACTAACTATATCAACACAGAAATAATCTAAAATTATAAATTCATTCTCCCAGTGTTAAACAATATTTAGATTTTTCTTAATATTGTAAAATCAGATTTGATTTTAAAGAGATTGTGAAGATGTTATCTAAACTTCTTATATATAACAGGGACACTGATAGCATCAATTTGCACTATTCCAATTTTCAATCAGGTGGCCGTGGTTCCTGCCATTCCATTAAATTAAGTATTTGATGTTGTCATTATCACAAAATATGATTTATCGCAAAAGGCCTTTCGTGATTAGTGATGTCATCAAACACTTAGTTTTAGTGGAATATCAATAACCACAGACGTCTGATTGAAAACCGGAATGGTTTAAATTGATGCTATCAGTGTCCCCGATACGCATAATTTTTTTTAGAAAACCTCTTTACAATCCCTTTAAGAGATTTGTAATAACTAAATCAAAAACAGTCTTCAAAAATATCTTCACCACTAGTTCCCTTGTAACTAATATACATAAGTTTAAATTATACCTTGTAAATTGGTGGACACCACCACTGTTTAATAACACTATGTAATAAATATTATTACATTCTTAAATAACCTTGAACTTTGACCTCCTATTTACAAAAATATTTTGCAAAAATTTCTTCGAACATTAGAATCTGACTTTCGTTGTTTCAATATTATGTTCATTAAAGAGGCACAGTCATTGAAATATTTGACTAATGTCTGGTCCTCATAAATTTAAAGAGATTGTAAAGATTTTCATCATTCCAAATTTCAATCAGACGTCTGTAGTTCCTGTAATAGTTTATGACTCCACTAATCTTTATGTGATAAAGTCCCATTTGAAAATTGGAATGGTGTAAATTGATACTATCAGTGTCCCTGATACACATACAAAATTTATAAAACCTTTTTACAATCTCTTTAATTAAAAGATAAAGTGGAAGTAGGGTTATTTGGATGACAATATCCCTATAATAAGAAGCCATGATAAGACTCTATCTGTATATGATATATATAATAAGAAGCCATGATAAGACTCTATCTGTATATGATATATATAATAAGAAGCCATGATAAGACTCTATCTGTATATGATATATACAATATAAGTTATATACAATTTGAATTTGTTCATATTTAAACATTATTACAATTTATTTGACAAACAAGAGGCACCATAAACTGAGATTCTTAATATACTCTCACAAAATACTGGATACACATAGAATTTGTTAGAATTTTTGAAATTACAATATTAGACATGTATTTTGATGGACAAATCTCCAAAATCAATTTCCAAAATTCCTCCTAATTTCACAGTATTACTATTATTACTGTCCTAAATGTGCCCTCACACCATAGTGATTACCAGTTGGGTATAGTTGTGAATGATGACAGTGACCATGAGTTGAGAATGTAACCCAAATATTAGATGCATGAGAGTTGCGTTCGATACTTATGACTGATATTGTTATTCGCAACCATACGCATCTGGTAATGTCCAAGATGTCCTGGCCACTTAAAGATGGGTTTCCTTATTTTTAGTGTCAAATTAAGCAAACTATTTCTTGATTAATTGGTATTTCTGATAAATTATCATGTATTCTTAATCATATCATTATGTTCTTATTGCATATAATTAAGAGTTTTAACCAATCATAAATATCCATGGATGTACAGTCTGGATAAACAAAAAAGACTTTTTGACCTTTCTCGATCGGTCACTCTTCTAATTTAGCTAATTATGATTTAATTATGGACATGTGAGATAAACTGGTTTTTTTCCAAGTCATTAAAACACCTCTACTTTCTATTTATATAAGTATTAGTATTTTCATTTATGAAAATAAGGGAACCCATCTTTAAGTGGCATTCAGCAATACTTTTAATATAAAGACAAGATTTCCACATTCAAGCATGACTGGCAAATGGAACTTTATCAACAGCCCTGATTAAAATGAAAACAAGATTTCTAGTGAACAATTATTTTTTTTGCCCTATTTTGATTTTGTATGATTGATTTGAACTAGTTTTGAAGTCAGTGAGGATAACTTGATCTTGTTGAATTCCTAAAATATAAATCTTTTTATAATGCATGACTCTATAATAGTTTCTCATGTTCGAACTTTAAAATTAACTTAAAGGTACAGCATGACTTAAACACACTGTAACTAACAAAACTAAGAATAATGGAAGAATGGAATAATGATCCTTTTTGAAGAAGAAGCTAGGGCCAGTTTCTTGAAAACTTGATCAGAATTTAAAAAATACTGTAATCTGATTGGTTAATAAAACATATTTAAATTCAACTCTATTTACTGCCTTGAGTCTCTAAAAATCTCACTGAAAATTTATTAAACGTGCCAAATTGTGAAATAACACATTTACGACAAAAATTGATTTTTGAGAAAAAAGCCCCGAACACGTGAATTATCTTTAGTTTTAGAGAAACTTGACCACAAGCCATAAATGAATTTATAACCATGAAAATGGATGGAATATAATAAATTGCATAGTTTAAATCAGTGCTTGGTCTAATTCTGCTTTTCTGTAAACTTGACTTGTTTCAGGGTATCCATTGTTGTCAGTTCCAAAATTCATGAAATCACTAACCAAAGTTTAATGACACCATTAACTGAATTTATGTCTTTCTTTTCAAAACAGTGGTATTTCTATTGGCAGGTCAGTGGGGGCCTTTGGCTCCCTCAAGAAAAGTGGCTGCCCCCCCCCCCCCCCCCCTCCCTTCACTTTTAAATTTGTTTACATATTAGTCAAATTGCCCCCACCCCCCTATGGAAATTTTGTGGCCGCTACTCGCCCCCCCCCCATACCCTCATGTAATGTTTTCTAGAAATGCCACTGTTTCAAAATCCAGTGGACCATATGAAATAATGAATCCCTTCCAAGATCTATAGGCATGTCAACCTGTTAACAAACAACAGAATTAGATTAAGCACTGGTTCATTGTGTACAGGGTGCTATAGGTCTATGGACTGGTTTCCGTGTCAACCGTTTTCCAATAGTCTCTACGTGAAAACCAATTTCCATCAACGCCTCATGGTCCAGGATAATTCTTCCATCAAAAATAAACGCTGGTTTTAACATATCGGCGTATATTCTTTTGTAATCCAATGTCTGAAAATGGAAATTTGAGCAACTTATTGAGTTTATCTAGATATCATTCAGGGCAGGGACAAGTGATATCATTCAGGGCAGGGACAAGTGACATCATTCAGGGCAGGGACAAGTGATATCATTCAGGACAGGGACAAGTGATATCATTCAGGGCAGGGACAAGTGACATCATTCAGGGCAGGGACAAGTGATATCATTCAGGGCAGGGACAAGTGACATCATTCAGGGCAGGGACAAGTGACATCATTCAGGGCAGGGACAAGTGATATCATTCAGGGCAGGGACAAGTGACATCATTCAGGGCAGGGACAAGTGACATCATTCAGGGCAGGGACAAGTGACATCATTCAGGGCAGGGACAAGTGATATCATTCAGGGCAGGGACAAGTGACATCATTCAGGGCAGGGACAAGTGACATCATTCAGGGCAGGGACAAGTGACATCATTTAGGGCAGGGACAAGTGATATCATTCAGGGCAGGGACAAGTGATATCATTCAGGGCAGGGACAAGTGACATCATTCAGGGCAGGGACAAGTGACATCATTCAGGGCAGGGACAAGTGATATCATTCAGGGCAGGGACAAGTGATATCATTCAGGGCAGGGACAAGTGATATCATTCAGGGCAGGGACAAGTGATATCATTCAGGGCAGGGACAATTGATATCATTCAGGGCAGGGACAAGTGACATCATTCAGGGCAGGGACAAGTGATATCATTCAGGGCAGGGACAAGTGATATCATTCAGGGCAGGGACAAGTGATATCATTCAGGGCAGCGACAAGTGATATCATTCAGGGCATGGACAAGTGACATCATTCAGGGCAGGGACAAGTGACATCATTCAGGGCAGGGACTAGTGACATCATTCAGGGCAGGGACTTGTGATATCATTCAGGGCAGGGACTAGTGATATCATTCAGGGCAGGGACTAGTGATATCATTCAGGACAGGGACTAGTGACATCATTCAGGTCAGGGACAAGTGATATCATTCAGGTCAGGGACAAGTGATATCATTCAGGGCAGGGACAAGTGATATCATTCAGGGCATGGACAAGTGATATCATTCAGGGCAGGGACAAGTGATATCATTCAGGGCAGGGACTAGTGATATCATTCAGGACAGGGACTAGTGACATCATTCAGGGCAGGGACTAGTGACATCATTCAGGTCAGGGACAAGTGATATCATTCAGGGCAGGGACAAGTCACATCATTCAGGGCAGGGACAAGTGACATCATTCAGGGCAGGGACAAGTGATATCATTCAGGGCAGGGACAAGTGACATCATTCAGGGCAGGGACAAGTGATATCATTCAGGGCAGGGACAAGTGATATCATTCAGGGCAGGGACAAGTGACATCATTCAGGGCAGGGACAAGTGATATCATTCAGGGCAGGGACAAGTGATATCATTCAGGGCAGGGACAAGTGATATCATTCAGGGCAGAGACAAGTGACATCATTCAGGGCAGGGACAAGTGACATCATTCAGGGCAGGGACTAGTGATATCATTGAGGGCAGGGACAAGTGACATCATTCAGGGCAGGGACAAGTGACATCATTGAGGGCAGGGACAAGTGACATCATTCAGGGCAGGGACAAGTGACATCATTCAGGGCAGGGACAAGTGACATCATTCAGGGCAGGGACAAGTGACATCATTCAGGGCAGGGACTAGTGACATCATTCAGGGCAGGGACTAGTGATATCATTCAGGGCAGGGACAAGTGATATCGTTCAGGGCAGGGACAAGTGATATCATTCAGGGCAAGGACAAGTGATATCATTCAGGGCATGGACAAGTGATATCATTCAGGGCAGGGACAAGTGATATCATTCAGGGCAGGGACAAGTGATATCATTCAGGGCAGGGACAAGTGATATCATTCAGGGCATGGACAAGTGATATCATTCAGGGCAGGGACAAGTGATATCATTCAGGGCAGGGACAAGTGATATCATTCAGGGCAGGGACAAGTGATATCATTCAGGGCAGGGACAAGTGATATCATTCAGGGCAGGGACAAGTGATATCATTCAGGGCAGGGACAAGTGATATCATTCAGGGCAGGGACTAGTGATATCATTCAGGGCAGGGACAAGTGACATCATTCAGGGCAGGGACAAGTGACATCATTCAGGGCAGGGACAAGTGACATCATTCAGGGCAGGGACAAGTGACATCATTGAGGGCAGGGACAAGTGACATCATTGAGGGCAGGGACAAGTGACATCATTCAGGGCAGGGACAAGTGATATCATTCAGGGCAGGGACAAGTGATATCATTCAGGGCAGGGACAAGTGATATCATTCAGGGCAGGGACTAGTGACATCATTCAGGGCAGGGACAAGTGACATCATTCAGGGCAGGGACAAGTGTAGAAATGAAAAAGAGTTTTATATCCTACTTTTCTGCACCATGTGGGTTAATGAAGACTGCCAACGCCATGCAGGGTGCAATGAGGGAAATTTTGCCAGGACTCCAACTTACTGTAGAGAGATTATTTCATGAGTCTTCACTCTACAATACGCAGGGTTTTCGGTAACAGTCCTAATACGAGAGGAAGTGTGACCTAACCAGAGGAACTCTAATCTTCACAGACAGGGGAGAAATGGCTCATTCATATCCATTACGCTGTTTACAAAGTGCAACAAGAAGTTTTTCTGTGCTGTTAATATTGACATCTCATCCCACCAACATATTTTGGGATAATAAAATCCTCATCAGGACAGCTAGTTTAGAATTGAGAGTAAAGTACTGATAAAAAAGATCTAGGGTTCTCTCTCTGTCTTACAAGTAAAATAGGGTTCACTCACCTTAAATTCATCCCATTCTGTACATAGTACTAGAGCATGACTACCTTTAGCTGCTTCATACACATCATCATAGATAGTTACTAGTTTGGATACTGAAAATAACACGGTGTGTGAAGTTAAATATATTTTTAGGGAAGGAAAGAAGCATTTACCCTTTACATTGTTAACAAATTAAAATTAAAATTACGCGCTACTTTTCTGCACCACGTGGGCTGATGAAGACGACGGTAACAAATTCAAGGGATTGTTACAAGATTTTAAAGAATTTAATGTGGGACAGCACCAATCCGACAATCTTATTTCAATCAGATGTCTGTTGTTCTTGCAATTCCACTTAAACTATGTCCTTTATGACGTCACTATCACAAAGGTCCTTATAAATAAACAGCAACTTTTGCGATGGTGACGTCATAAAACACTTACTTTTAGTGTAATTTAGTGAAATTTAATCTAGAGAAAAAAATCTTCAAAAGACTCTTACCTCTGTCAGGATTATCTGAGATCATTGGGGATGTTAACTCTCTACAAAATTAAAATTAATATAAATATTATATTAGAACTTTTATTTCTAAACGTTGGTACTGTCATGGAAGAAAAAATTAGTTATTGGTTATAAGGTTATAGAGTTATAGATGTCAGTATTTTACCGTATATAGACTTCTTGTTCTGTTTTCTATTATTATTTTATGCTTGATAAAGATTCCTGTATGTGAATTGAAACATTGCATTAATTAAAGAAAGGAGTAGTATATCTATAATAGTGTTTTTATTTATTTAATGTTCTATCTACTTGTAAATGACATTTCAAGATCAGAAATTAGTTAGTTTATATGATAACATATTATTAGTTTCCTCTGATTATTCAAGGTTGAAATTTTTTCTTTTTCTACAAATTTAAGAGCTTTTATTTTGATGACTTTAATCAATGAAGTAGATATTGTATGAGTTGTAAGTTTTATAGTGTTCTCCAATACTTCATGGTCAGAGTTTTCCCCCTTTCTAATGAACTTTCAAAGAGAAATGAAATGAATGGAGTTTTATGTTCTATCTTTCTACCCATATTGCTCTAGAAGAGAAAATCATAAAAGATTTCACTACAAAAGAGAGGGTCATGATTAATAACAGTGTAGAGTAAGGAGCAACTATTATAAACTAAAACCTTACACCAGTATAGGTCAACCTACCTCAACATTTGTTCCTTTTCAACCTTTGGGTCGTAAATTCTAATTTTAGCCTCTTCATCCAATAAATATTTACTCAGATAAATGGCAGCCGACTCCCTGAAAAATATTCATAATTTTGTGTAATGGAATCTATATCTGTTTCCAACATCTTAAACTAAATTCTTATTGGAAATTCTATCTTCACACAATAACTTCTGATTTAAAATTTTTGCATAAACTGTACAAGGTTCACGATGGCTCTGATCCTAAACATATTCATAACTGACTTCTCTTGTTTAGTTATTTCACAAACTTTCTGTGTTTATTTCACTCAATAATTCTAATATGTATGTATATCGTTGTAACTGTAGTGGGCTCCTGATTTTATCTTTCTTAAATGATGTGAAATTAAGTCTTTATCACCGAAACACCCAGTCTTTGGGACTTTTTACAAAATGTCTGGCATATATTATATTTTTTCTATCTCTAATTTCATAAGCTAAATATTTCTCACAACTTACCTGGTATCCCCTGTATCTTTTTTAAAAGCAAAACCTAATATGGTGATATTTTTATCTGTGACAGTATTAAATAAACTCTCCACTATTCTTAAAGCAAATCTCTTTCTCTGATAGTCATTAATATCTACTACCTGTAATTAACAACAGTCAAATCAGACAAACAGGACAAAATACAGGGAAAATGAAATGGAATTGGTTCACTTCTTACTTTTTTTATCATATTGACATAAAATTAACAGAAAATTTCACCATATCTAGCATATATTGTTTTACTTCCAACTGTCAATGGATCTTTATGTGCAGAGCAGGTATCACAGAGGACCTCTGTTTATTTCCTTAATTTCTTGTCAGCCCTGCTTTACTGACAGGGAAAACTCGGATTGAAAACTTAAAGGTATCACCTCGAACTAGACCAGGATAGAACTCTGGACTAGGTTGCAGGTGGGTTAGACTCACCAAACCATCCCTGGCTCCCTCTTATAATCTCCAGAAAGTCAATAAATTAAGACTTTACCTGTTGCCAGTAGGCTGCAGCTTCTGGTAAATTCAAACATTCACATAAATAGACTAGATTTAATACATCTTTCTGAAAACAACTTCCACCAAATCCTGGAGAGAAAATAAACAAAGATTCTCGTATCCTATCTCTAAAAATATCCAATTAAACGAATACAGATGTAAAATATCATTTAGCATGGCAATGAATGAAGTTTTATCTGATCAATTTGAGGTTAACAAAGACTATATAACTGTAGCTGTAGAATCCTACCCTTTTCCAATTTCCGTAAATCTTTATCATGCTAAGCCTGTAGCAAATATGGCCTCACCAGCTCAAGTTGCAAATTTTCAAGAACAATATACATTTGATGAGTGATAGAAATCTAGAAAGTTTAAAATTACCTACCTACACTAGCCTTTAAGAATTTGGAGCCGATACGACTGTCAGTACCGATAGCCCCTGCTACTTCTGATACATCAGCTCCTGTTGCCTCACATATAGCTGATATAGCATTAATACTGGAGATTCTCTGGGCTAGGAAAGCATTAGCTGCCTGTAAAAATACAAATCAGATTGAATCTTTAATAACCGATTACCTGTCAATCAAGTTCACCCACCCGCCCCTAACAATATAGTTCTATAAATCGATAGTGTTATTTGGATGATAAAATTATCAAATATTTATTATTCCATTGAAATATCAACAACAATTGTAAATTTAAATCAATTGTAAAATTAGATTAGACTTTTCGATGTATTCATACGCCTTATTGTCACGTGACAAACTACAGTTATTGGAAAATAAACGCCGGTTTGGCTTACTGGTTTATTGAAGGGAGTGATAGTAGAAATGTAAATATTATTGTTTAATCTCCACCCCAAATGGCCATGAAAATATGTACAAAGCATCGTAAATAAAATTGTTTCTAATCCTTTTAGATAACTTCAATATCAGAATAATCTGAAACTTACCAATTTAGAGAGTTCTGAAGACCAAGTGTTCATGACTATGATTTGTTCTTTTGGTATCCAGTGTTCATAAATCCAACATAATGCTTCTACTGCTTCTCTCCCTTGATCTGTCTTCTCTCCACCAATCAGAACACGGTCGGGAGAAACTAAATCTGATATTGCCGTACCTTCCGCTAGAAATTCAGGGTTTGATAAAACCTGGAAAAAAAAGATGAAAAGTCAGCGCTTTATATTTGCATCTGTTAAGGTTTTTAGTGACACAATAATGTGTCCGCATCATAAACAGATTCATTTCATTGAAGATTGCACCCCTTTCAGAGAGTCCACATAGATCAACATGTTTTTTGATATGTAGGTCTGTCAAAATGGTATACTGTTCACGGAGCCCACATAGCTTATAATATTATTTGGGATTTTTTAGGTTTGTTGACTTGTTGTATTCCAAGCCAGACAAGAGTCAACAAGGCTTTTGCTGATTAAGCACTTGTATTCGTCAACTCAGCATCTCTCACAGTCCACATAGGAAAATAAAACAAAATAAAACAAAACAAAAAAAAAACAAAATAAACAAAAAAATAAACAAACAAACAACAATGCTGATTAAGCAATAAAGTTTGTCAACTTGACATTCTTTTCAGAAAGCTCAAAAATATTTATGTAATATTGTTTGTATGATATATATAGTACCTGATATTTAACACCAGGTTTGACGTTGGCCTGTAGAATATTTGTGATACTCTCAGCAGCTTTGACTGGTACTGTTGATTTTTCTACTACTATCTTAGAACTCTTGGCTACTGTAGCTATTCTTCTTGCTGCTGATTCTATATACTTTAGATCTGCTGCTCTACCCTACAAGAAATATCAACAATAACTGAAATATATGACTACATCTCACGGAAGGTACAGAAGTTTTTTAAAACTTTTTATTGTATCAGGGACACAGATTAGAATCCATTTCAGTCAAGACGTATGTGGAACATGTATTTATGCATATATGACTTCATTATTGCAACTGCAATGCCAAGGAACTTAGATTTTATCACCAGCCCTCATCCTTTAAATCGATTACATTACTAAAATACACCCAGTAGAATAACACGATACTTCTACTGAAAACAATCATAACTTTGGCACTATGTTTTAGTTGAATTTCAGACAAACCAGATTCCTGAGAATTGATATGGATGATTGTATTTGAGGAGATTATGAGCTTAATATCATTCACCCTGAATTAGATTCAGGATTTCAATGGGTAGAACTTACAGTCATGGTCACAAAGACACAGGGATGTTTGATTACGCCAATTTATGACTTTATTTATTGACTTTTCACCTCTGCCTAATTCAAGATGGCTACAAATATCATTAAAAAAATCACATGAGGATGATTAGAAATAGTCATCTTACCTTCCCAATACCAAATAATTTAGTTGGTGTATTAACACAGATAAAGATTAACTCAGCTTCTATAATAGCCTTGTCAACATCAGTAGAGAACCATAGATTTCTTTCACGACATGACTTTACTACATCGTCTAACTGAGGCTGAAAATTGATCAAGAATAAGAAATTTAAAATCATTAAAGTACCTGATAAAGAAAGCTTGCCAGGCAAGGTAATATACGCCAACTGGCAGCAGATTTTGAATAAAAATATTTAGCAGTACAGTAACAATCACCAGTATGAAATATTCAACCTTCAGTCTAATAATGTGTCTTGTAGAGTGTTTACGAGAAAGTGTGGAATGACGGACATGGGTGAGGACAATATACACCCACCATTTCATGTGGGCGTATAAAATTTACAAACGATGTGGACGCTCTGAAAGAAAAGATAGTGACTACACATATTTTCATTTCGAAGCTTTGGATATTTAAAAAATTTATAAAACTCAATAAGTTTCGTAAGATTTTAATAACCCAATCATCCAAAAACTTGTTGGTTTTTTTGAAAAAATATATTTGAGATTAAAAGACTTAAGAAATGTTACCTGAGTTTTAGTTTACTCACCTCATACAGTGGAAGATGATCTGAATTCCATTGTCTAATTCTTTCTTCACTAAGATCAACCACCGTCACCTGGACATCAGGACATTTACTGGCTATAACAGCACACGACGGACCCCCAACATACCCCGCCCCTATACAACATATCCTCTTAATGGGCATGTTCCACGTCCTGTAATAGAAATAGACTAGAACATCAGAACAGTTACTGACTATAATAAAATATCCTTTCCTTTAGACTAGAACATCAAGACATTAAACTTTCCCTTCTATTGGGGCTCTCACACCATATCGATCATTTTGCATATGGAACTCTGGACCATTTTCATTATTCGTAACCATACACAACAGGTAATCACTGGTGTGAGAAATACCATAAAAGGAGCTATCATGTAACTTATTCGTAAGTTGCGTTCGGAGCTCTGGACCACTTTTATTATTCGCTACTATACACAACTGGTAATCGCTATGGTTTCATGCACCTTTAAAGAAGCCTATACCAGCTTTCTGAATAACAATCTGAAACATATTTGCCCACAATTTATCATAAAAGAATTGGGAAAAGAATCTACAGTTTGATTATCCAGACTTCAAAGACTGAACAATAGATTTTATGATGCAACATTCTACAAGACTATTGTTTATTTTTATTTCATTTTTGTTTAAACAATATTTATTGATAATTTACAAAATCATACATATGCTATAGATTAATGTTGGTTTCAGAAACAAGCCGAAGCTTATATAAATCTGTTACCAATATGATATTTACAGATGATAAAAGTATAATTT